AGCATATTCTGTTCAAATGTCCCAAAATGGCATTCGTATAGTTAAGTGTGAAAAAATGATCGTTTTCGATCATATTTTCCCGATCGTCATGTGATTGATTGTTCGGGGTGGCTCCGATTCGTTAAGATTCCTGGCCGAACATATGAATCTGAGAAGTTCAAGCTTCGCCGGAGCACTCGATTTTGTGCCCGTTAATACGGTTTCGTCGACATATCGGTCACTTTTAAATGGAAGTCACACAGCTATGCAACTGATCTGTAAAGAAGTTAAAATATGCTTTTGAGAAGAATATGGTTGTTTAGTGATGTAGAATTTGATTTTGTGAACTTTATGCGTTGTCAGACTACTTTCCATGTGCTATCCTGGGTCAACGACTAGTTTTTTGTACATTAGATAAGTGCGTTGTGCATATTTTGCTCGTTTTGCTGCTGTGGATTGCATTTGTTAATCGCTGTGCGAATGGATGATCTCAGTTTATAGCGGATTTCGATTTTACGTAGTAGATGCTGAATTTTTAGTGTAGATGTCTAAATGGTGATATGCTATGAGAAAGATACCGACATCGAAAGTAATAGTGACTACTACGATGGTGCGGAATACTCGAAGAACTGGTATCTGACGGCAGCAACTGACGATGATTTAATATCGGGCAGTGAAAAGGATGATAGTATGATGTGTTGTTGTAGCAAGTGTTGCTTCAAGTGTGGAACTTGCCAGGGTTGTTGTCAACGAGAGGAATACAGTGCTACTACAACAGTGGAGTGTTTTTTGTGTTTTTAGTTGCTCTGCGTCGTTGATTCGTGTTTTTTTTTTTGATTTTGAACATTTTTACTTGCACACGCAAGCAGTTGTTTGCCTTTTTGTGGAACCATTCAGTTACGAATGGAACTTTGTCACAACAATGAGCGCGTAATATTTGTCTTTACCAACTACCCGAAAATTATCAATATTGCCCGAAATTATCGTCAATATTATTAATATTGCCCGAAATTTGTCAATATCTTGACCAGGAATTCTCATTCTTAATTATTCTTGAGCATACTATTGAATTGTTATTTATGTCTAAGCGCAACATCATAATGCTATGAGGTAGTAGTTGCGAGAAGTTTTGTTTTTAATCAGGGAAGATGATTTTGATTAGTGCTCGATAAATTGCTAATTTAGTAAACGCCCTTTGAGAAGCGATTGCTTATCTACTTTATTGGCTAATGGCAACATTTTTATAGAATCTTTTTATGATTTATTTTATTGCACTTCAATTTTTTTTGCTTCGCAAAAAAATCTCAAAATAGAATTTCGATTA